GGGGAGGAGGTGCCGCCCACCTCCTCCCCTTCCCCTCTTCCTTTTACAAGAAGCCTCCTGACTTAGAAACAACTTTCTGGCTTCTGCATCGGTACAGTTCTCCACCCAGTTACATCAACCTAATGGTCCCTCCCCCTTGTACATTTCGTGCCCAAAAGCTAATATAAACTCTCACAAACCCATTGTTGGGGCTGTCCACCATTTTCAGGGTAGCCATGGGCCCTCTTGCCACTCTGAGCACAGCCCAGCAGATTTCTTTCTTTAATAAAGCTTGAACGGTACCCGGCATCTCGGCTCACTTTCTTTCATTATGGTGCCAGGAAGGGTTTTGGCCGACATTGTGGACGATCCTCTCTCTCTGGGGGTGATTGACCCTTGGCCGCCCTTCCCGGACCTGCCAGAATCAGGTACACTAGGGACTCTCTCTCCTTTTGCCGTTTCACACCAATGCATCCAACATCGTCCTCGATTCAGGGTGAGTCAGTGGGTCTGTCCTGCCTACTTCTACGGTTCCCCTGACTACTCTCTCTACGACTCAGGTCTCTACGAAACCCAGGCGCCTGGCCGAGGGAACTCTTCCCGTGCCCCCCAGCTATTGAAGGACACTTCATTGGGTGGTTGCTTGGCTTTTTTCCTCTCAAAAAGAAGGTGGGCAACAGAGAGGGCACTCTTTGTTTGCACGCTTCTTCTACCAGGACTGACTGCCCTTTCTCACCCTCAAAATGGGATCCTCGTGATCCAAACCTCCACACTCTATGCCCTTGGGCCGTCTCCTGGCCAATTTCTTGGCCTCCAGGGAGAAAATGAACCTAAACATCCCGTCCCCTTTTCTACTGTACTCCGCGCTGTATGCCTCTGGGCCACTCTACACCTCTGGGCTTTCTCCTGGCCAATTTGTTGGCCTCCGGAGAGACATTAAAACTCAAACGCCTCGTTACAATGGATCCCAGTGGCCACAAGATGGCACTCAATTTAGACACTCACCAAAACGGCAAAAGCTATAGAAATTCCTTGTTCAGGACTTTTCCTATCTCTGAACGTGTTCTTCTCTCTGCCAAAACTGTCCTATGTGTCAAATTCTCCTAGCTCATGCTCGACCTCTCCTTCCAGACTCGTATCAATCTTCTGATCCGTCAGCCCTCCACGTTTCTCTCTCTCCCCTCTACCTGCCCTCGAGATGCTTGTCCTCAGCCCAACCCCTCCCCTTCTCCCCCTTCACCAGGTAATAACCCTGCCTCAGCTCCAGCTTTTTATAACCCTTCCGTGAAGTGGCTGGGATGGAAAGAATTGTCCAACTCCATGTACAGGGAGCAGGTCTGGATGGCGGCTCAGGTACATGCTCAAAATAAAAGGAGGCCTGTGGGAGCCATTGCTGTTCCTTGCATGGACCCAAATTGGAACTACCAGGCTGGCCATGGGGATCGGGATCTCCAGGATAATATGATCACACACCTACTTCATGGCCTCCAAAAGCCTACTCACAAGTCAGTCAATTATGACAAGCTTAGAGAGATCACACAGAGACCCACTGAAAATCCCAGCAAGTTCCTAACCCACCTCTCTGAGTCTTTACATGAATACACACATACAGACCCAAACTCCCCTGCAGGCATGGCCCTCTTACACTCTCATTTCATTACCCAATCAGCCCCTGATATTCGAAAAAACTATAAAAGAGATCAGGCCAAATACTAGCTCCTGGCTAATGCCATCCAAGGCTCAAATACTCCAAAGCTGGCTGCCTCAACAGACAAGCCACCCAGGAACTGCTTCAAATGCAGTCAACTGGGCCACTCAGCATGGGCCTGTCATAACCCATCCTCACTGCAAATGGCCAGGTCACTGGGGGATTGACTGTGCCACTCGCCAGAGAGGGAGTGGCCCAGTCCCCAACCTACAGCCTTTGGCTTCCTGGCCATCCCTACCGGAGCTTCTCGGCTTTGCCCAGGAGGACTGATGATGCCCAGGGCATGAGGCCCCCACAGAGATCATCACACATAAGCCACGGTAACTGGCTTCGTGGCAGGTAAGCCAATCTCTTTTGTCACTGATACAGGGGCCATTTTCTCTACCCTTCCTGAGTATGCAGGACCAACAACCCCATCCTCTATCACAATAGTAGGGGTCACGGGATCAGAATGCCGCCCACGGATCACTCAACCCCTTTCCTGCACCCTACCTCACACCCAATTCACACACAAATTCTTAAAAATGCCTCAATGCCCAGCCTCCTTTCTGGGATGGGACATTCTTTTCAAATTCAAAGCTACTCTTACCCTAAACACTTGAACTGCAGCTACAATGCTCCTGTTACAGGCTGCACCCAGACCTGGCCCCTGAGGCATCCACCTTCCCCTTTCCCTCAGACAAGGTTAATGCCTAGAATGGGAAACTTCTTCTCCGTCCATTGCTACGCACCATTCCCCTATCCTTGTTAAGTGGTGGAACCCCTCTTTGTTCCACAGTACCCCATCACTAACAAATACCTAATAGGCTTAAAACCCATGGTACACAAACTCCTTTCTTCTCATCTCTTACGGCTCACCCACTCACCTTTCAATGTACCCATCCTTCCTGTTATAAAGCCTAACAGCTCATACCATTTAGTACAGGACTAATCCTGACACACGTCGTTCATATTGTTTAGTACAGGACTAATCCTGACATGCACCGTTCCCAACAACTTACTTGGGCAGTACTACTCATCTGTCTCCCACTTCGTGAGAAACTTTTTGTGGCCACCCCGCCCCTGTCAATGCAGCCCGTAACGTTTCCACAAACGTCTCTTCACTTTAATCTCACCTCAGTGGGGACTGTCAGCATTCTGCGGGGCGTGCCCACACTCTGCCTTACAAACACCAAACGCTACCACTCACTTACCCCCTCCTCATACATGCCCTAAAACCGGAATATATTTCCTTCGTAAAACTATGTTATCCTGTTGCCTGCCCCCAACTCGATTTCTTGCATATTTGTTTGGCTCGTCCCTGACATCACCCTCCAGACAGAGGGGACTGGGACTAACTTCGGCCCCTCCCTCTCAGGAAGTGCCCCCGCTCCCATAGGGCACTAATTGTACCTTTTAATTGGGGCAGAGATCCTTTCTGCAACTGGGACTAGCATAGCGGGCCCTGCTACTGCCTCTCAATTCTATCAAAACTCTCAGAAGAACTAAGCATAGACAGCATCTCCTCCCTCCAGTGACAGGTCACCTCACTCGCGACAGTGGACAGTCGCTTTACAGAACCGTCCGGCCCTTTACTTCCTCACAGCCGAGAAGGAAGGCAACTGCCTCTTCCTGGGGGAGGAATGCTGTTATTACATAAATGAGTCCGGGTGATCCAAAACAACTTAAACCATTTCACTGAACCCTTGGATACCCTGGCCTATGCCCCTACTAGGACCCCTAACTGTGTCTTTCTATCAAAAACTCTCAGAAGAACTAAACATAGATAGCATCTCTTCCCTCCAGTGACAGGTCACCTCACTCGCGACAGTTGACAGTTGCTTTACAGAACTGTCAGGCCCTTTATTTTACTTCCTTACAGCTGAGAAGGAAGGCACCTGCCTCTTTTGGGGGGAGAAATGCTGTTATTACATAAATGAGTCCAGTGTGACCCAAAGCAACTTAAGCCATTTCACTGAACCCTTGGATACCCTGGCTTATGTGCCTACTAGGACCCCTAACTGTGCCTCATCCTACTTTTTAGTCCCTGTCTCTTTTGGTGTTTCTCTAATTTCTTGCAGGAACGTATGCAGGCTTTCACCAACCAAAAGGTCGCCGAATTGTTCCTGCAAGGAGGATATCAGCCCCTCAGGATCAGCGACCTTTCCCCAGAGGAATACAGCCCCCCCACACGAAACCAATACCCCCCCCCCACCTAAATCTTTTATTTTTTCAATATCTTTGCTCATCTCCAGCAGGAAGTAGCTTCAGAGGAATGAGACCTCAGCCCTTTTTCCTATACTTAAAAAGCAGGAATAATAGATCTGCAACATAATCAGCGCCACTTTAGACAAGCCCAAGTACAAAATGGCGCCGCCCACCTCCTCTCCTTCCCCTCTTCCTTTTACAAGAAGCCTCCTGACTTAGAAACAACTTTCTGGCTTCTGCATGGGGGGGGCGCGGGGCGTGCAGTTCTCCACCCAGTTACATCAACCTAATGGTCCCTCCCCCCCGCCCCACATTGCGCGCCCAAAAGCTAATATAAACTCTGGCAAACCCATTGTTGGGGCTGTCCACCATTTTCAAGGCAGCCATGGGCCCTGTGCCACTCTGAGCACAGCCCAGATTTCTTTCTTTAATAAAGCTTGAATGCTACCCGGCATCTCGGCTCACTTTCTTTCAGTAATCATTTCGCAACGTATACATATATCAAAACGTCACATTGTGCACCTTAAATATATACAATTTTTGTCAACTTTACCTCAATAAGGCAGGAGTGGGGACAGCACTAGATAAAGGTGGGGTTTTTTACTTTATTCTAATTCACATACAGAAAAGGCGACGAGGTCCTCATTCGCGCTGTTAAAAGTTATCTGTGAACGCCTCTCCACTTCCAACACAAATGTGTATCCTCCTCACCCCACCCCCGCGTCCTTCTGGAAATCCTCTCCTATGCACACAGCTGAAGACATTACAGTAGTCCTAGTTTTAAAAATGAATCATTAACAGAGGCACGCTTCCTGCACCCGGACTCTGCGGACTCTGTTCTAACTGCTATAAAGTTGCCCACGATCCCAGCACGCAACTCACCAGCTTCTGCTTTTTCTACGGCTCCCCTCCTGTCCCTGCCCAAGTGCATTCACGTTTCCACAGAATCGTAGCAGCCTACACGTACTACTTTACACTTACACTGCCACCATTTGTGTTCAGCGATCCTTTGCAGAGAGCACGAAATAAAGGCTGGCGTGCCCCATCGTGGCGAGGGAGGGTCAACCCGCGCCCGCGCCCGTCCCCGCCCGGCCTCGTTGCGTCCCCCGCCGCCCCGTCTCCTTACCGGTTGCTGGCTCGAACGCCTTCTCCGTGCCGGAGGCGTCCACCGGCTCCACGCGGGCCCCGCCACGGTAATTGAGCGGCTGCGACACGACGAAGGTGCCAGTGCTCATGGCGGCGACAGAGGCAGACCGAAGAGTGCGGAGAAGGGGAGAGAACGTGGCCAGACCTGAGCGGAGAAACATGGGGGACGTGCGCTGCACTGGGGTGCGCCTGGGAGGCGGGGCCGCGGGGAGGGGCGGGGCCGACAGCGTGCTGCAGTTAAAGGGCCTCCAGGGACGGCCGGGCCTCCGGGGGAGGGGTCTAGGAGAAAAGGGGGATGGTTACTCTGCTCCTCCGCGGCCCAGATCAGGACCTCGCCTAGCCGTGAGAGTGGAATTACACACCAGGGTCCTCCCCTGCCCATCCCCCGCGATCTCCAAGGGGCGGGGGTAGAGGGATGGGACTTCCTTCTTCCTGATCAATATTTGCAGCGTACTTTACAAGCGTTTTCGGTTATGTCTTAGCGTATAATCATCGTAGTATCCCACTCCTAATCTTATCGCCTAAAGAAAGCGGAGGATTGGTGTACCAGGAGTTTTAATTTGGTTGTTACTTTACTCTTAAGCCACCTTTTCTTTATCTCTACTTTCTAAAAGGTTGCCGTAAAAACCAAGGGAAGGGCTATAAAGAGATATACGATATTGTGATGTGAAACTGCTTTTTAGATTCTAAAAGAGCAGTTTAAATGCTATTAATGACAAATACTGATAACAAACAAAAGCCTAACGTACACGATATAAAGAGCAAAGGCCATATGGGAAAAAGGCTTTGTGTAGGACAAAACTGCCACTGGAAACACACGTTTTAGTCAGCTAAAGAATCTTGCACAAAGGCAGTCTAGTCTCATTTGTTCTTACAAAATTCCAACGCATCTTTACTAGAGACTTCTATGAACATGAACGAATTTGTAATTTAGACATTTTTTGCAGGCTTGTTTCTCTTCTAAGAGCTGCAGTCTTTCTCAATGTTGTTTTCCTTTACATACCAGCATACCAACACAATATTAGGCAGTGTGGTTTTCAGCTTTAGAATAGAAATAAACTATTCTGTTCAATTTTTTTCCAGCACTCTATACCAGTTTGTTCACCCTTTCAGTGCTACTGAGATGTGTAGATCTTGGTCCTCAAATGGAAATAGCAGTGCCCAAACTCAGAATACCTGGGGCCAAACTGAGAGCAACTAACTTTGTTATTATTGCCCATTGAAAACTGAATTGAAACATGCATATCAATAGTCTGTGATAGGGCCGCCCGTGGCTCACGTGGGAGAGTGCGGTGCTGATAACACCAAGGCCACGGATTCGAATCCCTATATAGGGATGGCCGGTTAGCTCAATGGCTGAGCATGGTGCTAACAACACCAATCCAAGGGTTAAGATCCCCTTACCGGTCATCTTTAAAAAAAAAAAAAAGTCTGTGATGCACTGTAGATCTCCAGGATTATTGCAGCAAGGATGGTCATGTATGTACAGAGTCTATATGTATTAGTCCATTTTCTGTAATTCATAACAGAATACCTAAAACTGGGTAATTTATAAAGAAACAGAACTTATTTCTTACAGTTTTGGAGGCTGGGAAGTCCAAGGTCCAGAGAGTACATCTCTGATGGCCTTCATCTTGGTGGGCGCTCTCTCTGCAGAGTCCTGTGGTGATTCAGGGTATCACTGAGCAAGAGTGTCTTTTTTTTTTTTTTTTTTTTACTGGTAAGGGGATCACAACCCTTGGCATGGTGTGGTCTGCACCACGCTCAGCCATTGAGCGCACCGGCCATCCCTATATAGGATCTGAATCCGCGGCCTTGGCGCTACCAGCACCGCACTCTCCTGAATGAGCCATGGAGCTGGCCCAGAGCTAGGAATTTTTAATTGCTACTTTTGGGAAGTGGACATTTTGGCAAGTTTACTTATTCCTACTATCTCTAGTTTCTCTTGTGTTTGAAGAAAGAGAAGATGGCGGCATAGTGATTAAGAGGCCAGACTCCAGAACCAGACTACCTAGGTTCCTAGTTTTGTGACTTTAAACAAGTTCCTTAATCTGCCTGTGCCTCAATTTCACCTCATAAGGTTGCTGTGAGAATTAAATGAGATAATATAGATAAAGCACAAGAGCAACTGGTACTCCGAGTGCAAGCTGTTATTTTTTGTCTGTTTGTGTGATTGCTTAAAAAGAACAGCAATGAAAAATACCCGTGTGAGTGCTCCCTGAAATTGACTTGGTGTTGTCAGCACCACGCTCAGCCAGTGAGCGAACCGGCCATCCCTATGTGGGATCCGAACCCGGGGCCTTGGTGTTATCAGCACCGCACTCTCCCGAGTGAGCCACGGGCCGGCCCAAGAGTGTCTTTTCATGTGCTTTCTTCCTCTCCTTATAAATCCTACAGTCTACTTCCTGAGAATTCATTAAACCATTAACCCATTAATCCATGTATGGATTAATCCATTCATGGTGGCATAGTCTTCACCATCCAATCACCTCTTAAAGGCCCCACCTTTCAAATACCATATTGGGGATTAAGCTCCAACATGAATTAGAAGAGGGGATATTCAAACCTTAGCACTAGGGCCGGCCCGTGGCTTACTTGGGAGATTGTGGTGCTGATAACACCAAGGCCACGGGTTCAGATCCTTATATAGGGATGGCCAGTTCGCTCACTGGCTGAGTGTGGTGCTGACAACAACAAGTTGAGGGTTGAGATCCTGTTACCAGTCATCTTTTTTTTTTTTTTTAATGATGACCGGTAAGGGGATCTTAACCCTCGACTTGGTGTTGTCAGCACCACGCTCAGCCAGTGAGCGAACCGGCCATCCCTATGTGGGATCCGAACCCGGGGCCTTGGTGT